CGGCGCCCGCGCTGCTGGCCCCCGCCGTGCTGCTGGGCGCCGCGCTGGGCTTAGGCCTCGGGCTCTGGCTCGGCTGCCGCGCCGCCCGCCCGCGGCCGCGACACCAGGTGGGTCGGCCGAGCGGGCAGCCGGGCTGCGCCCTGAGCGCCCTGCGGTGATCACGGGCTTGGCTTCGCGCGCAGTCGGCCCTGCGCCGGGCTCCCCTTCTGCTCCAGGGAAGGGTGGGAGACCGCGGTTTCCGAGGGAGGCGGCGGAGTGACAGGAGAGCACGGTCCTGGGGTCCCCCAGAAGCGCCTGTGCCCCCGGCGCCGCTGTGTGCTGTAGAAGCCACCAAAGCCCCCCAGGCCTAGGCTTCCCGTCTGTAGCACCCAGGTTTGGACTGGAAGCCGGCAGGACCCCACCGCGGGATGTGCATCCTGCTTTCGCGCTGTGTGGATCACCTAGCTAGCCTCTCCTGAGTCCCAGCTGCAGCGTTAGGACTCCCTCCCTCCCTCCCTCTCTCCCTTTCTTCCCCTCTTCCTTCCTCCCTACAGTAAGTTTGCCGCGCAGCTTAGACTGGCCTAGGGGCCTAGATGGCACATCGGTGAGCAGGGTAGGCCCTGCCCTCGCCTCGGGGGGGCTCACAGCCTCCAGAAAGACACGGACAGATTACAAGTCAGCACTTGATTGTAACAGCCTGAGATCTGTGATGGGGGTGCGACAATGCTGGCACTGGCCGAGTGCTGACTGTTCTTTCTTGTCCTCAGAATGCTCTATATTCATACTTTCCTGGTCTGATTTTGTGAGTGTAATATTTTCTCTCTCTGAAGATTTTATCATTGTTTTAAGTTTTCTTTTCCTCACGCAGTGTCTGTTTCCTGCTTGCTTTCCCCTTTTGTTTGTTTTGGGGTTTGTCTTTCATAGTCAAGTCTGTAATCAAGGGACTGGTGACCCTTGACCTCCTGGTCATTTTTAACTGGGGAGTCAAAAAAAAAAAAAACAACCTCAAAAAACAAAAACCGGATGGTCCCCTGAGAGGAGGCTGAGGTCTTTCTCTGGAGTCTTTACTGTATGGTGATCCGACTGGGTCCTTCCCTGCAGAACCCTTGTACTGGGCAGCTATGAGTGCTAAACAGACAACCCCCAAATCTCTGGTTTTATCATCTACTCCTCTCTACCCCGTCCAGACGGCTCCAGCCACACAGGCTTCCCGGGACACGCTGGGCGTGTTCCTGCCTCAGGGCCTTTGCACGGGCTGTGTCCTCTCCCTGAGATATCTGAATGGCTTGCTCTCTCACTTCCTTCAAATTTCTTCTTAAATGGCATCTTGTCTAAAAGGACATCCCCTCCCATCACTCCCCCTGCCCCCATCATCCGTTATTTTTCTCTATAACACTTGTCACCTCTGACATAGTACGTATTTTTTGTTTGTGTTTCTCTTCTGTCACTAGAATGTAAGTTCCATGAAGGCAGGGGCTTTGTGTATTTTGCCCATTACTCTGTTTCCGGTGACTAGACTGAGGCTGGACACTTCATAGATGTCCCCTAAGAGGTGCCGACTAACTGGTGTTACTTCTTCCGCTCAAAGATTATAGCCATGATCAAACAGGGGTTTGCTAAGTGTCTCTGGCATAAGAGGATTTGATTTTATTTATTTTATTTATTATTATTATTTTTTAAGATTTTTATTGGGGAATTGGGGGAAGGGGAACAGACAAGGGGAATTGGGGAAAGGGGAACAGACAAGTTGCTGTCCTTTTGTTCTTCAGTCTAGTTGTGGAGGACGTTGCTTCACTGGCCCAAGTTGGCACCATCATTGCGCTCTTCCCGGGCGAGGCAGATCAGTCGCCGGCTTCTGGACGGCTGCTCACTGCGGCTGCTGGCCGCTCACGCTGGCTGCTGGCTACACACGGTAGCCCATGGCAACCCACTGCAGCAGGGGCTGCAGCCTACGCCGTCACCGGCAACCCACAGCAGCCCAGCTCCAGGTTGAGCTGTTGTTCAGCATCTTAGCTGTGGAGGGCAGTGTCACTGGCCCTCATATGTGGGATCCGAACCGGGGCCTTCTGGCGTCCCAAGCCAGCTCCTAACCATTGCGCCACTCGGCCGGCCCTTATTTTATTTTTCTTAATGTTTTTTAGCTGAGCCATCCCGCCACCTGTTGGCAGCTCAGTGGCAGCTCAGCTAGGGAATCGAACCGGCGACCCTGTTGCTCAAAGCTTGCACTTTTGAGTTCGCTCTTAACCAACTGAGCCACTCGGCCGGCCCTCTAAGAGGATTTTAAATACAGTTGATAATTATGTTCACTGCAAACACTGAATTAGCAAGTACTGAATCATGGCCCCTCAGGGAAATACAGGGTTAGATTACTGCAAGCCTCTGGTCACAGCATTTTTATTAACCGATCAATACATAGCCTTGTTTTATGTGTGTTTCTGTTGAAAGACACCTTATTTAATACACACTGTTGATTCATTAACATTGAACTCACAGCCAACAGTACTGGAACTTATGCCTGAACAAAGCTTATCTCACACGCACATATTCTCCATCAGGCAAATCACAGCCTTCCTGGGCTTACGAACCCCAGACAGCACAGCAGCACTACACTCAGAGGTCATTTTATACAGCAAAATCACCCATGGAAAGCACAAAAGTGCAAAAAAAAGAAAAGAATGGCACTAAATAGAGCATGGAAAAGACACTTGTTTGCGGTATGAGAGCTCAGATGAGAAGGCAGTTGTTCATTCTCAGTTGCAAATTGCACATCGGGCAACTCAAATTTTCAACATTTGCACGTGTCCAGGAATGACCAAAAAAGTGCCCCAGGTGTTGATTTTTGGGGTTACAAATAAATTTTAGCAAATAGAAAAATTTGCAAATGCAGGATACGCAAATCATGAGGGTCATCTTATGAGGGTAGTTCATAGTAGAACCATTCTGTATTTTAAGGTCATCTAAAATATTTTCTGAAAAACCATCCATTGATGTTATTGGAAATACCAGCAAAATTAGTGGCTGTGTGCCACTTCCTGAGAGTTAAGCTGTTATCCCCCAAGGAGCTCATAGGCAAGGTTGGGGGGGTGTGTGTGGGGGGGACTGACCCAGGAGAACAGCGGAATGAGCCTTGACCCAAGTATCGCCTCCAGGTCCCGAGGACACACTGATGTCGGGCATTGGGGGCATTCAGGGAGTGGCACCTGGACGGTCTAGAAGGATGTGTAGCTGAGCCCAGATGGGAATGGGTGGCGGGGCGGGGCACACGGAGGACCTAGCAGAAGCACAGAGGAGCAGAAGTGACTGCTGGGGGTGGGGAGCTGATGGCTACAGTCCCAGGAGCGCTGGGCTGGCTGGCTTCAACGGGTCCCCCCCGCCTTTGGATTGTAGAAAGACGACGCTCAAAGTCTGCTCAAGAATTTGGAGTCTAATGTACAGACCCCCTCAGAAAGCGACTCCCCACCCAGGAGGAGGAAGAGAGAAGCACGAACTTCGAAGAATGAGGAGGCTCTGGACGTAAGCTGGGTGTTTGGGTTTACTTGCCGAGGTGCATGTCGGGTGTCCTGGGTCCCACCTGGCAGCACAGATGTCATCCAGATGAGCCTCTCAGCTGTGTCTCATTAGGCCTCTGTTTTGTGGTATAATTTCCATATAATCGAAGGCACAGTTTTTAAGTTTACAGTTTGATGAGTGACTGGTGTGCACACCCTTGTAACCGATGCCCAGTCAGGAACGGTCCATCACCCCAGAGAGGTCTCCAGTGCCCCTTTCAGGTTTACCACCAGCCAAGCCCCTCCCAGAGGCAGCCACTGCTAGGATTTCCAGCACTGTGACTGGTTTTGCTGTTCTAGAATTTTCCTTAAGTGGAATCATGTGCTTTCTTGTGTCTGTATTCCCTCAACGTCTTGCTTTTGAGATTCGTCCATGTCATTGCTTATGTCAGTACTTTGTCCCTTCCATTGCTTGGTCCACCGTGGGATGTGTGCGGCGTGGGTGGTTTTCAAGGGTCGGCTCTTCTGAATAAGGCTCCTGTGAGTGTTTGTGTATAAGTTTGTCTGTTTGTTTTCATTTTGTTTCATTTTACTTAAGTAAATACTAAGTGAATATCTAGAAGTAAGAGTCCTGTGCCTCTGATGGAGATATTAAAAGATGGATTCGCCCCATACCTCCCTCCCTGGCCCCTCACTCTGTCCAGCCGGAGCCTGTCCGTGGGGCATCGCTTCCTGCGTGAACTCCATGGATGGAGAGGGCATTTCCTCCAAAGATATGGTATTTCTAGTCACTTCCTTGTCCCCAGGCAGTACCACAGACTCCAGGTATTCAGCCTCAATTGCCCAAAGGTAAATGTAGATATTAGGTGGGTGGGGGCGGAGGAGGGGGAGAATGGGGCAGGGTAGGGGAGAGAGGTCCTGGGGAAGGGGGGAGATTGAACTAAGTTCCCTTTTCAGTACCCACTGAGTGCCCGGCATCATATCATTCTCAGTGCTGTGAAGACTCCTGAATTCTCTCAGCAGCCATATGCAGTGATCTTATTTGTATCCCCATTTTCCAAATGAGGAAACTGAGGCTCAGGGAGACAGCTCACTGACCCGAGCTCGTCACATAGCTGAGACTTGTGCCTGGGTCTGTTTGGCCCCTGCCCCGGGAGGCTGCCTCCCCCACAGCTCACAGCCTCTGACACTCAAAGTCAAGTTCAGCAGCCTCTGCTTACCGTGGAAGGGACGTGGGCTGGGCGTTGTAAAACGAATTTCACCAAAAAGTTTTAAATCAAGAGGGGAAGCTTCTAGTTAAGCTGAAGAATCAGTTTTCGAGAGTCACCCCGTGACCTTCCAAGGATTCTGAGACAGCGTCCCTTCCTCATGCTGGACAGGCCCCGTGGAAGATTAGCTGCCCTCCCCAGGCTGACACGGGAGCTGGACATGGAGAGAGAGCTCCTGGCTGGTCCAGGAGCAGTGGCTGGCGGCACATGAGCCAGCACTTTCTCGGATGTGCTGTGTGTCTCTAGCTTACGTTCCCTGCCTCTCTGTTTCTAGGTGCTTGTCTCTCCGTGTGTGTCTGTGTGTGTATCAGTGCATCTCTCTGTATGTCCATCTCTCTTTGTGTGTCTCTCTCCACGTGCATCTCTGTGGGGCTCTGTGTGTGTGGCAGTGTGGGTGTGTGATATCTCTCTGTCTCACTTTCTCTCTTTTCCTCATCCATCTCTCTCTACCCCTCTGCCCCCATCACCCCATATTAGTAAAATCCTGCTCACAGAAATGAAAACATGTCCACGCAAAAACTTTTACACAGATGTTCACAACAGTCCTATTCGCATAGCCAAAATATGGGAACCCACATGTCCATCAACTGACGAGGAAATAGACAAAACACACTCTGTCCACACAGTGGAATGCTACTCGGCCATGAAAAGGAGTGCGGTCCTGACCCACGCTACAACATGGCTGAACCTGGAAAATCTTGTGCTAGCCGAAAGAAGCCAGCCACAGATGACCACCTGTTATAGGATTCTATTCACATGAAATGTCCAGGAGAGGTAAATTTACAGAGACAGAAAGTAGACTGGTGACTGCTTACAGAAGGTGGGGGCAGGGATAGGCAGGATGGGGGTGATAGCTACAAGGTTTCTCTTTGAGGTGATGAAAATGTTCTAAAATCGACCGTGGTGAAGGTTGCACATATCTGTGAATATACTGAAAATTATTAAGTTGTACACTTTCCATGGTTAAATTGCATGGCACGTGAGTGATATCTCAGTAAAGCTATAAAGAAAACCACCACACTCACACAGAGGGTGGCCTTAGGTGTGATGACAGCAACACCAGAACACTGGCTTTGAGACCCTGGGTCCTGGAACCCAGTCCCAGCTCTGCCACCTGTTTGCTGTGCAATGTTGGGCATGAAACACAACCTCTCTGAGCCTCAGATTTCTCAGCTTTACGATGACAGTAATGAGGCCGGCTCCCCGGGGTCCTTTATGAGTTAACTCTGAACATTCCTGCCACAGAAGTGCTTAATCAACGTTTGCAGGGAACCAAGTCTTTCTCCCACAAGGCTAACTCGTTTTTTCTACCTAGCAATGTTTTCCTTGTTAACTATTTAGCTATGCCTAGCCAATGCCCATTATCAAGCTAATCATTGCCAAGAGTTCAGTTAAAGATCTGCCCGTTCTGGTGACTGGTTTGCCCAGACGCCCCTGCCTGGTGCAGGCTGAGCTTGTCAAAGAATGTGGACGGGACCGATGTGACAGGGCGAGTCGAGCGATAACTCCCAGGCCCTGTGATGCACAAAACACCAAGGCGTTTGTGGTTCGTGCCCCTTCTTGTATGAACTCTGTTTTGATAAAGAGCTCACATCAGCCAAAAACAAACAGAAAATTCCAGAAGGCTCTGGGGCATGCTATTCCCCGGCCTGGGTTCATCTCCTGCGTTGTAGGAGGGAGAGGAATGTCTCCTTTATGGACGCATTTGTGCATTTGCTAAAAAGTACACTGCTATGTCAGTGCATGAAATGGCCCCTCTTTTCCTACAATGGTGCTTCAATCATTTTCTGAATAATGGCATCTTCAGCGGAAGAAGTTTTACCTTGAACTTTGTGCTACAACCAATTTTCTGAATAATTGGATTGCTACGGTTGGAGAGACAATCAGCACTGGGAGGACTTCTGAACCTCAGAACTGTAGAACACTACACACAGTAGGTGCCGTTCAGAGAGCAAGGCCCGCTCACCGCCTCATTCCCATGCCGAGGGTTCTGGGTCCTTCGTCCCCCGACTGCCCTCGAGGGGACTGCCGTCTGCAGGTGGACGTGTGGAAAAGCCATCATAGCCAGAGGTTTCCCACGCAGCTGGAGTGACGCCGTCAGCTGGGACTGTGTTTGAATGCACAGGCCTGGGCGCCTCGATCCCCAGGTCCTGCTTCTATACCTCTCAGGCGGGCCCTAGCACCTACTTCTTTTTCTTCTCAAAATTATGTTTTTCCACATTCAGTGCACTTTTTGTTTTGTGTCTCCCCGTTTGAAGATGAACTCCTAGAAGGCAGGGACCATGTCTTCCTCCCTCTCAGTTTTCACCCTTTTCATTCTGTCCTTTCTTTTCACCTGTCATTGTAAGAAGTTTTAAAATGCGCTGCGCCCCCTCTGCCTTCACATCTTTTTGCTTCCGAGGGGGGGGTGGGTCCTGAGCAGGGCTCGATGGGGTTCCTTACCCCCCACAGTTACAGCTGGCAGGGCTTCGCTTCTGTCCCGTCCCAGCCACTCTGCTGGGAGCTTTGTCTACACGGTCCTGGGGGCAGATTCACATCCCATTTACTGCCAGGGAAGACCAAGGCTCATAGAAGTGAAAAGACTTACCCAACCACCTCTTTTTATTTGAGGGCCTGATCCAAAGTCTTGTGTGAGTATTGCCACATGTAGTGTTTATACCCCTGACAAGGCTAAAATTATTCTGTGTTTGCTTTTTCCACTAAAATGTGGTTCACAGTTTTTAGGAACACTCTTGTTAATTATCATCGTGTTATTTAAATCCTTATTTCTTCCAAAGGAGAGGACTTAGAATTGAGTGAATCTGCTATTTAACATCTGTCCATCCACTTATCCACTTGTCTGTATATACCCCCCTCCCCATTTACCCATCCATTCATCTACTCCACCCACCCATTTGTCCATCCACCCATCCATCCATCCATCCATCCATCCATCCATCCATCCATCTGTCCATCCACCTGTCCATCCAGCTGTCCACCTACCCACCCATCCTTCTAGCAAGTGAGTACTTTCTTGGATCTATATGTGGCTATTATGGTCCCTTTCTGAGGCCACTGTCACAGATGGGATGTGACATTTTGGAGACTCTTGGTGGTTTATCCTTTATTTTATGGAAAGCTCCCACGCCATCTGTTCTCCTTCCTTCCCAGGAATGTGAGCCGCCTTTCAACAGCAACATCACAGCATTTGCACTGAAGGCAAAAGTTGTCTACCCCATCAACCAGAAGTTCCGGGTGAGAGACCTGAGCTCCATCGTAGAAACACAATTATTCCATAATATGCTCGAGATTGGGGTAGGAGTAGGGGGGTTAAATGTGCAATTTGGGGTTCTATTTGAGGGTTTTCTGGCCAGATATATTAATAGGGATAAATTTGAGGCTTTATAACAGAGCAAATCTTTAAGGTTAATCCATGTGATGACAGTGTTGTTGAGGTCAGAGTATGCCCATGGTATATTGAGGTGACACACAGTAGGACAGCACCCATCCTGCTCTTTTACCACTGGTACAAATACTGATAATGACACCGTTGCTGACATTAATCCTCCTTCACAGACCCAGTAGCTGATGACACTAATGCCAGCAGCTGGTGACATTCCACTCACTGTGGAGCTGGCACAGCGCTAAGCATTTGTCATGCATTAGGCACGTCAACCTCGACCTACTCCTGTAAGAAAAATTATGTTATCTCCACTTTACACATGAGGAAACTGAGGCCCAGAGAGGCTCATGACCTGCAGGTCACACTACAGGAAGTGGCAGGACCAGAGTCAGCCCCACCCTCACCTGGCTACAAGTCCAACACCGGAAGCCAGGAGTTCACACCTGAGGCCCGGAGTTTTGCAGAGGGCTGTGTGTTCCCTGGTGCCTCAAGGAGCCCTCAGCCTATGGGAAAAAAATAGTTTCCTAGTCAAATACGTTGAGGACAGTGCTACCTGCTCTCCTGGTGGTAAAGAGGACAGCTCTGGAGTCATACCAACTCCCCCCTGGCTCCCACCTCTGCTGTTTACTCTTCGCCATTTCCTGACTTCTCAGGGCCTCAGTTTCCTCATCTGTGAAATGGAAGTGATGGGCTCTCCACCTCACCCGGTTGTCCTGAGGGTTACACGGGATAATAAACGTAAGCGCTTAGGACAGTGTGTAGCATCTAGGCATTCAGCACATGGTCGATTTTTTAAAAGCATTATTTGCTTTTGAAGACAGCCACAGCATATCAAAGGCTCTGAGAATTCTCGCACCAAAGAAATCATTCCACCTTGTTTAGCGCAGACTTTTCCAAATCTGTTTTTCTGCGGAACCCTTACGGTGAGCGGTAACTGATTCATGGAACTGTTCCCCGGAACACACGTTGGGAACCACTTCTTCCCTTAGATATCTGGTGGGTGGATGAAGGGGCAAAACCCCCAGACCAGGAGCATTTATTCATCATCAGTCCCCGCTCCTGGGTGGGCACTGGGGTGATCCGGCGGTCAGGCCAGCATTGTCCTCCCCTGGCAGCCCTCCTACTCTGGGTGGAGACACAGGACAGTGTGCGGTGACAGAAATGACCAGGAGCCTGTGGCCCTGGCGTGGGCTGGGCCTGGGTGTCAGGGAAGCAGGGAAGGCAGGCTCTGGGGCAGATGTCTGGAGGAAAGGCTGGTCCGCCCAGCAGAGCAGTGAGGGGGCTTCAGGCAGAGGGACAGAGCCTGGTGCTCTGGCCGTGCCAGGTGACCTCTTGTAGTCAAGGTAGGGACTTCGTTTCCTTGACAAGGAGCTTTGAGTTGTTCTGAGGGCAGTGGGGAGCCACCCAGAAGGCCTGGGGGCAGGAGGTGACGCCCACATCAGTGCAGGTGGAGAAGGGCTAGGTGGTAAGAGGTTAGTGCACAGAGCAGGCTGGGAGCCTAAGACAGCAGCAGGGAGAGAGGTGGGCTGCTGGCTGCTGTGGGGAACGTCAGATGGGCAGCCCTGTGCCGGGTGCAGGCCCATCAGGGGACAGAGGCAGGCTAAGCGCTAAGGGCTAGGAGCCTGGTGCAGAGGGCTGGCCTCCTGGGGACTAGAGAGCTGTGATACGGGTGCTTGGGGCGGTGCCCCTGATGCTCAAGCTCTGTGGCTTCCACCCACACACCCCTCTCCAGGCTGCCCTGGCCTGGCCTGAATCGCTGGTGGAATTGCTGAAACAGGCTTGCGATGGGCCACGGAGACTAACAGTCGGCTTCCTCTTCTGCTACCCCAGCCCCTGGCCGATGGTTCCTCCAACCCATCTCTGCACGAAAATTTAAGGCAGACTGTTTTGCCCAACCAGCCGGTGGAGGCTTCCCCTTCCAGCAGCCTGGGGAGCCTAAGCCAGGCCGAGAAGGACGACCGCAGCTCCTCGTGCAGCATCCACTCGGCCACCAGCGACGACAGGTTCCTCAGCCGCACCTTTCTCCGCGTGAACAGCTTCCCTGAGGCACTGACCTGTGAGAGGTAAGGAGCAGGCGGGATAGCGGATGCAGACCAGAGGAGGAAACCGAGGCCCAGAGAGGCTAAGCAACTCAGACAAGGACACACAGCAACCCCGTGTGAGCTGGACCCTGTATCCCTCCGTGTTGCCATGTTGGCCAACGTGGGGGTTATGGAATCAGGCCTGAGTCCTGGGGAGAGACACCAGGGGGCCTCGTTTAATGACTGACGTGTCCTGTGCATTGCATAGGAGCAGCAAGCACTGATTAAGTAAGTGCCTTCTGTGAACTGGGCAGAGTGCTAAGCACTTTGCCAGGATTACTTGTTGCCTGAGCACAAGGGTCAGGTCTTTCTTGTTCGCTGCTGTGTCCCTGTTGCCCCGGGGAGCCTGGGATAGGCTCATTGATGAATACACATTCGTCAGCCGGTGAGTGAATTCTTCCTAACAACCCAAGGAGGTGGGTGCTATTATTGCCCCCATTTCATGAAGAACACAGTGAGACACAGAGAGGCTGTGTGACTTGCCCAAGGTCACACAGTGCGTGGTGATGGAGCTGGGTTTGGCCCCACCACCTCATCTCCACGCTCTAAATCACCAACCCACCCAGCAAGGCTGTGGCAGGCTTGTGGGTCAGCCGTCAGGCCTCTCCCTGCTCTGAAGTCCTGTGAGTCCAAGGGGCCCTGGATGGGCTGGACCAGGACACAGCCTTGCTCAGGGCTGTGGAAAGTGTGGGCTCAGACCTCTGAGCTTGGTGTTGACCCTGCAGATGGCCCAAGGCAGGCGGGCTTCACTGAACAGGAGTCTTTTTGGCTCAGCCTGTCTCACTGGGAAGGACTCTTTCTGAGCATTTGGACTTAGAGGACTTGTTGCAGTTAGGGTGGGAGGGTAGCCATTTAAAATGCATTTGCCGATGTAGGAATAAGGGTCAAAGTCCTTTGTTTACACCCTGCCTCTCACCTGCCCCTGTGACTTTTGACTGATACTCCGTCTCTGTGAGCCTCGATATCCCGTCAGTTTCCTTCTCTATAAAATGGGCGTGAGGATGCCTGCCTCACAGCACCGAGAAAGGTGACATGTGACGTGAGACATGAGTGCCCGGGAGGAAGTGTTAAGTTTCGTTTCTCTCACCTTCCGCCTCTTCCCATTTTGTCCTTGATGTCCAGGCAGCTGTTTCCTTCTGGTCACTAGTGGATTTCAAATAGCTCCTTTGATTCCTTCTTATAAACGTTGGGATACTGTGAGGAATCTCCACACGCTGCAGAATTTAAAGCCTGGGACCAGGACTCCCCGTGGCTTGTACCCAGCGGGGACGCCCTGATACTCTGTAACCTCTCCCCACTTCAGATACTCTAAAGGCTTTTTCTGTTTCTCGTGTGACTTTGCAGCGTGGACCTGGACTTGTGTATCTACAGCCTTCACTTGAAGGACCTGCTACGTCTGGACACGGCGCTGAGGCAGGAGAAGCAGCTGGTAGGTAGTGGGGAGTGGTGGGGAGGTGGGCTCATCTGCCTTCCCCTCAAGAGCTGAGACACAAGGTTCTCTGTGCACTGAGAACCCCCGTGTGGGCGACACGGAGCCACCACAGCAAGAAGGGAGCGTGGCATTGGGCAGCCCACCACGAAATGGAAAAGCAATTCACTCGTGTTGTTGGGCTAGGGCTTCACTTCACCCAGAGAGAGAAAGAGAGAGAGTGGGGTGGGGGGGGGTGGGGGGAAGAGGAGGGAGATACTGTCGCCTAAACCTTTCTCTTTGTTATGTTTCCTTTTCTGACAATAGATGTTCATTCAGATTTTGAAAATGTGCCTCCTTGACCTTCTTCCGAAAAAGAAGCCTGATGATGAATTATACCAGAAGGTTCTCTCAAAACAAGAAAACGTAAGTCTTCAACCTGCATTTCAAGCTAACTTAAAAATAGTTTATTACAAGGTATAAAACTTACAATGTTAAGTAAGATATGAAAGTGTTTTTGCTTTCATGTATAAAGGTAGTTTATTACCATATACACGTTTAAACACATATAGAGATATAAAAGTAAGTGTACAGATATAAAGATAACAATGTGTATTATTAAAGTGGGAAAAAGTATTGGAAGCAGATAAGAGAAGAATATTGGTCATATCCACGATCACAGAGAACTACCGTTGGTGTTATTTTCTGCACAAGCTTAGGGTATTTTTAAATGTATAATTTTCCAAACTTCATAAGGATTGAAAGACACCATTTCCTTGTTTTTTAAGTATGGACTATTTTTTGTGTGCGGGGAGAGGAAGAATAATCCAATAGGAGAAAATAATCCACTATTCCTCTATGTTTAATGGAAAAAAAATAGATTTCTGTCGTCAAACCTTAAGTAGGGCAATGCTCAGAGCATTTAGTTATAAGAAATATAAGAAATATTTTATGAGAATGTGGTGAAAAATAAAAGAATTTCTCTTCCTGAATTTAAGATATGTTAGCTTTTTTTTTTCTTTTTCTTTTTCCCCCGCCCTAGGATTTGGAGGAATTAGAAAAGAGACTTCAGGCCAAACTGTCAAACATGGAAACAGTGGGTGCTGGTGACTCTGAGTACGTCACCCTGGCAGATGTGGAGAAGAAAGAGAGAGAATACTCGGAGCAGCTCATCGATAACGTACGTGACGGATTTTCTTCCCTGTATAAAAACCGTGGCTTCTGGGATGATTCAGGTGGGGAGATTAGACATGGTACCTACAATATGTTTAATACTTGAATTCCCACCATGTTCTGCCCCGGAGCCAGGAATCTAGTGTCTGAAGTAAGCGATAGACAAGGTATAATTAGGGTCAAGATTTACAAAGATTGATGCTTTTTGTTAAAACGAATCCCCCTTGTTCAAATTTTAGATTGATCTTTTTCTCATTCAAAGCAAAGATTGCTCTAACCCTCTGTGCTGCCGCCGCCCGTGTGTCAGAGCAGAGGCTAGGTGCTCAGACGCGAGGCATCACTCGTAAAAGCACATTTTAAATTCTAGGCCGAATGGCTTCCCTCAGATTTCTTTCTTGCTTTTGGATTCCACTAGCCCCTGTTTGTATATTATGTATTAAACATTTCCTTGGCCCCAAGGCATGATGCTGGACGCTGGGGATTCAAAATGAACTTAGACCTGGTCCTGCCAGAGACGTGCTCACCCACCTGGGGGCGGGGGCTCCGACAGGTGAGCAGATGAGGACCTTATGGGTTACAAGCATGATAGAAACACAGGCTGATGCACGGTGGAGTGAGGCATTCATTTCACCCTGACTTAGGAAAGTCCTCCTAGAAGGAGGGGCCGCTGAGAGGCTGTTTGGGAGAAGGGTGGGTGCTGGCCAGTGGGTCGGGGGTGGGAGGCTGAGGATCAGGCACAGCAAGGTCAAGCCAGAGGCCTGGCCTGAGGGCTCGGGTCTCATGCAGAGAGGGGGAGTCACCAAAGGTTTGCTGCAGAGGGAGGATTGGTCCCATTTGTTTTAGAAGCTGCTTGGGCTGCTGGGCGGG